GTGTGTGTGTGTGTGTGTGTGTTTGTGTGTGTGTGTGTGTGTGTGTGTATGAGTGTGCACATGCATGGGCCAGAAGTCAATGTTGTGTGTTTGCTTTTATCACTCCACCTTTTCTGAGACAGGATCTTTCACTGAACTTGGAGCTCACTGATTCAGCTAGACTGACTGGCCAGTGAGCTCCAGGATCTACAGTCTCTGTGCTGCTACTGTGCCTGGTTTTTACATGGGTGCTGGGGATCCAAATTCAGTCCTCATGCATGCATGGCAAGCATTTTACCTACAGAGCTATCACCCCAGCTCTTGTACTGTTCTTTTTGAGACAGAGTCTTATGTAGCCCAGACTGGCCTTGACCTCACTATGTAGCCAAAGCTAACCTCGAACTCCTGATTCTCTGCTTCTACCTCTGAAGTGCTAGCACTACAGGTAAGGTGTGTGCCACCATACCTGACTAAACCTTTCATTTGAAGGGGTTTTTTTGCGTAGGTTTTTTTTTTTTTTTTTTTTTTTTTTTTTTTTTTTTTGTTTTGTTTTGTTTTTTTGAGGCAGGATATAGTCCTAGCTGACTTGTCTGGAATTCACTCTGTAGACCAGGTTGACCTCAAACTCACAGAAATCCACCTGCCTCTGCTTCTGCCTCCCAAGTGCTAGGAATAAAGGTATATGCCACCATGCCCAGCCTGGTTTTTAATGGACAGTTTTCAGTTTTATTAGAACAAACCTGTATTTATAAATTACTAAACTAGTTAAAAAGGTTATAAAATTCCTAATGTTCTTTATTTTTGGTATTAGGTACTTACAGTTTCATCAGAAATCCCTAAAAGAATTCAAAATGCTTTAAAAAATGCAGAAGAATCAAAGCAAATTCTTAATCAGTTTCTGGAACAGGAAACACATCTCTTCAGCTCCATTAACAGCCATTTGCTAACTGCCCAGCCCTGGATGGATGATCTTGGGGCCATGATCAGCCAGATTGAGGAGACTGAGCGGCATCTCACGTACCTTAAATGGATTTCACAGATTGAAGAGCTAAGGTAAAAGCAGCCTCTTTGTTCTCATAATTATTATTTTCCTTTGAGGCTCTGTCTTACAGAGTACGTGTATGCTATTAAATAATTGAGTTAATTAAAGATTATAATAATGTAATTTTACCAGTTGTTATGAAAATAACATTATGATAATCATTCTTTTTATTGTGAATGAACATAAACTTTTCAGAGAGCTTAATTTGCACTTGAAAGAAAGTAATCTAAGTTAAAAATTTAAGCCTTATAGTTATGTTTTGAACACATGGGAAAAACTACTGTTGATAATGCCAAACTCTTATTTATGTGATAATTGATATTCCTGTTTAATATTTAGAGATTGTCATTTATTGAACTGAGTTGTTTCACCTAGAATTTGAATTTCTTTCAATGAGAATTATCTAGTAAGAACTGCAAACCCACCAAAGCTGGGTGTGGTGGTGCACCACTTGTAATCCTAGCACCTGGGAGGCTGACGCAGGAGACTTGCTGCAAATTTGAGATCAGCTTGGTCTACATAGCAAGTTCTAGGACAGCTCCAGGCTATGTAGTGCAATTGATCTCAGAAACAACCACGGGGACTGAAGAGATGGCCCAGCAGTTAAGAGCATTGGCTGCTCTTGAAGAGGACCTGGGTTTAGTTTCTAGCACTCACATGACCACTAATAACTATAACTCCAGTTCTGAGGATCAAAGCCCTCTTCTGTCTTCCACAGGCATTGCATGACATGGGTGCACTTATATACATGCAAGCAAAACACCCATATACATAAAATTTTTAAAATTAAAAAAACAACAAATAAAAAGAACTTCATAGTAAGCCAAGTGTGATGGTTCACACCTGTAATATCTCAACACTCCAAGGCAGGAGATGGCAAGTTCAAAATCAGCTTATGACCAAACTTTGTCTCAAACATTAAAACAACAACAACAACAATAAAAAGCTCTGCACATTATTCTTTAATGAATATCAGAGTTGTACTACCTGTGAATAGGGAACAAAGAGAAATAAAATTCTTTTGAATTGAGTATATCATTGGTGGTTGATAACATCTGGTCTTGCCTTTCAACAAGTCAGAATAACATTTCTACCTAAGTGAGGAGATTATTCTGCTTTCTGGTATGGTCCCCCAGTCTTTTCAAATTGCACTTTTTTTAAAAAAATTATTTTTATGTGTATGAGTGTATTGCTTGCATGTATGTGAGTGCAACCGTGTCATGCAATGCTGCAGAGGTCAGAAGAGGGCTTCAGAGTCCTGGAACTGGAGTTAAGGACGGGTCATAGCCCATGTGGGTGCTGGGAATCGAACCCAGGTCCTCTTCAAGAGTAGTCAGTACTCTTAACTGCTGAGCCATCTCTCCAGCCCCAAGAGTAAGAATCAAATTTATAATGAGTACTACATGGGCAGTCTTTTCTTTCTCTCATCAATGTATTCTTCCCCTTAGGTCTTTTGTGATAACTTCTTTCTGTTTATTTATTTTTTAATTTTATCTATTTTTAAAATTTTATGTGTGTGTGTGTGTGTGTGTGTGTTATGCCTGCATGTAGGTAAGTGCACCCATGTCGTGTGTGCAGTGCTTGTGAAGGTCAGAAGAGGCTGTCGGATCCCCTGGGACTGGTGTTATGGATGGTTGTTAGCTGCTATGTGGGTGCTGGGATTTGAACCCGGGTCTTCTGCAAGAACAACCAGTGTTCTTAACCGCTGAGACATCTCTCCAGCCCCTGTGATAACTTCTTATCGCTTTTTTTAGCTTTTGAAACTTTCCTCATCTTTTCATTTCCTTTTAATGGCTTTTATTTTAAACTCAGCCTCCTTCCCCCTCCCCCACTCCTGTAACTGTGGTGAGTCACCTGTCCTCTTGATCAAGGAGGCCGTGGAGACCCCATGAGATGGACTTGAACCAGTGTCTAGTCTACAAAGAGGCGGATCAACACAGAGGAAACATTTCCTCCATGCTTCCAAGTGAAGCCAGCTATGGTCGAGCAGGACCTTTGACTTATCTTCATGAAGACGGAACTGGTAAAAGAAAGGAGCCAGGGGCTCCTCCCAAGCCCATGTGACCCCTGAGGAACAGATCCTCAAATGACCTTAAGAGTGAAAATAAATTGGTTTATCTGGGCCAACTGTTTGGCCTTAAACACCCAAAAGGAAAGTATAACCAAAGATTAAAGGGGCCAATATAATTTCTTAAGAGTCCATGTGCATACTAAAGGCTATATAGGAAGCAACAATGCCAGATAGGATGGGAAAATAAACAGCAGACCCCAATCTTATCTAAAGGAATATTGACAACTGATTGCTGCTAGATGAGGAACAGCTGACCTTCCTAAAACAAAGACCTCTAGATAGGCTGACTAGATTCACCGGATGGACAAGTACTGGGGCTTCCTGTGGCTACATGATGATGTGGCTGGGAGTGCTGACAACACAGCAGACAGTAGCAGGAATGACAAGTATAAGGGCTCTAGTGGTGGTGGTGGGGCTATGGGAGGGTGCCATCTGGGAAGTGGGTATATAGATGACTAAGATTGTTTGGGATATTCTGTGTGATATATGCACAAAAAAAATCAACAAATTTAAAAAATGAGTTATATTTGAGGAGGAAGCATAAAAATTTACATCATGTTAATAAGTAGAGGTGATAAATATTGCCATTGAAATCTACCCGATGACTTTATATCCACACACAGGTGCCAAGGATCCAAGTGCAACCGACCATGACTAGTAATAATCAAATACATACAGATTAGAGACGTATGCACCAACATCTAAGTGTTATTAGCAAAAACAGTGAGTCTTTCTGTAAGAAATAGTATCTTTTAAAATGAAACAGAGATCTTTTTTAAAGGTTACAAACTCATTCAATTTTATGTCTTACAGGGTTTATACTGAGTTCAATATTGTATAACTGTATTACTTCAACTGTGAACCTAAAAATTTTATAGCCACTTTTAAAAGAGATGTATCTTTGCTCTGGAAATTGTTATTGAGTATGTTAAAGCTGTAATGAAATGCTTCTAAAAAATAAACATTTTTTTTAATTAAAAAAAAAATGTACCAGATGTTAACTACATTATTCCATGGACTAAGATTTCTAGAAAAGAAGTCCTGGCAAAAACAGATGATGCCTGAGGGATTGTGACAAATCTGTTCTCTCAGAAGGCGTGGGAACAGACAGGTGGAAGAAAACATCCTGAACATAGGCTGCTGCTGACTAACTCTTGGCTCCTAGGATGTGGGTGTCACATAAAATAGTGAGGTTGAGGTCATGTGCCATTCTTCCTTAGATGTAATTTTATGTCAAACATGAGGGAGAAAGTTTTTCTAAGTTTAAAATTATTCCAAAATGGAGCTTAGGGGATGGCTCAGTCGGTTAAGTGCTTGCTATGCAAACATGAGGATCTGAGTTCAATCCCCAGCAACCGTGTTAAAAAGCTGGGCTCTGAAGCTGGGCATGGTGGTACACACCTTTAGCCCCAGCAGAGGCAGGCAGATCTCTGTGAGTTCAAGGCCAGCCTAGTCTACATAGTGAATTCCAGGACAGCTGGGGCTACAGGGAGATCCTGTCTTAAAAAGGCCAAAAAAAAAAAAAAAAAAAACAAAAAAAAAGCTAGGCTCTAGGGAGGCAGACAGTGGGTCCCCAGAGTTGGCAGGCCAGTCAGTCTAGCTGAATTGGTGAGTTCTAGATTCAATGCAAAGACCCTGTCTCAAAAATTAGGTGGAGTGTGACTGAAGAAGACATATAACATTGACACACATTCACTCATTACAAAGAAACTGTCATTAACATTTGCTTTGTTTTGATCTTTTATTCTGCAGTGATAACATTCAGCAATACCTGATGACCAACAATGTGCCAGAGGCAGCCTCTATCCTGGTGGCTATGACAGAACTTGACATCAAGCTTCAGGAATCATCCTGCACTCATCTTCTTGCTTTCATGAGAGCCACAGTTAAATTCTGGCATAAAATTCTCAAGGACAAGCTTACCAGGCAGGGAATTTAGCCATATTTCATGGTAATTTCTTTCTGGTAGATATTTGGTGACGTAATAACATCATGTGAAATACTTTCTTTTCTGTTACAGTGATTTTGAGGAAATTTTAGCACAGCTTCATTGGCCATTCATCACATCTCCCCAGTCCCAAACTGTTGGTATAAGCCGGCCGGCCAGTGCCCCTGAGATATACAGTAACCTGGAGACACTGTTTTGTCAGCTGCTGAAACTACAAACCTCGTATCTTTTATCATTTTAAATTATGTATATATGAGTCTGTGTGTGGGTATCTGCACATCAGAGCAGTTTCCCAGGGAGGTCAGAAGAGGGATCCCCTGGAGTTACAGGAGGTTGTAAGCCCCCTGATGTGGATTCTGGGAACTGAACTTGGTGGGTCCTTTGCAAGAGTGGTATCTGCTCTTAACTACTGAGCCATCTCTCCAGCCCCAAACCTTATGTGTTTGTTGGAGTGGAAAACCTGTTCTTCCTAGAGTAGCTTTGTAGCTCTAGAGTAAACATCTTAGGCTAGGGATAGAGTGGTAGAGTTTTCTAATGTGAACAAAACATTGGGTTCAATATCCAATACTGGGGGAAAAATATTTTCAAAGTGACCAAGAAGCCAATTTCAAGTCCTGTATTGGATTTGATAAATGCCTGTTGGGAACCAAACTGGGTCCTCTGCAAGAGCAGCTGATGCCCTTAACCACTGAGCCATCTCTTTAGTCCTGGATTCTTTCTTTCTTTTTCTCTTTTTTTTTTTTTGAAGCAGGGTATCCCTGTAGCCCCAGCTGTCCTGGAACTCACTATGTAGACCAGGCTGGCTTTGAACTCACAGAGATCTGCCTGCCTCTCCCTCCCAAGTGCTGGGACTACAGGCATGTGCCACCATACCCGGCTTCTTCTTTTTTTTTTTTTAAATGATAAAAATAATCAAGCGTATGTTTATCTGTCTGTATGCCACATATGTGTGAGTAGTCATAGAGGCTAGAAGATGTCCAATCTCCTGGAGCTGGAGTTACTGGCCACCCAAAAAGGGTGCTGGGAACTGAACTTGGGTTGTCTGGAAGGACAGTGTGTGTTCTTAACCCCTGAATCATCTCTCCAGCCTCTGCTGATTAATTCTAAAAACATGTTTTAGTGAATTTCAATTCAATGTAAAGTTCAATTTCTCATTTCTGTATTATACCTTTTGCTAAGTATTGATACATTTATTGGAAAAATTTACTGTGTGCATGTACGTCTGTGTTTATAAATACACTGTTGACATTTTCCTTGACTTGACTATGTCAGAGATGAATTACTTACTGAGCCAAAACAGCTCCCAGAAAAATATTCTCTTCCTGCATCCCCTTCAGTCATCCTGCCCATCCAGATTATGCTGACCCCTCTTCAGAAGAGATTCAGGTACCACTTCAGAGGCAACCGGCAGACCAATGTTTTAAGCAAGGTGTGCTTTGCCAATGCTTCTGCTTGTCCTTTCATTATTTTGAGACGAGTTCTAAGAAAGAATCCCAAATCCTGCCTCCTGAGTGCTGGGATTAACAGGGATTATAGGCATGTACCACTATGCCAAGTTTGCCCTGACTTTTTATTAGTGGTGAATGTTAAATGTCTAGACTTTTACTTGGTCAAGTTAAAAATCTGCCTTTATTCACGTTTCTGTTTTTCCGATAAAGAGCTAAATTCCTGCTTCACCATTCCCTTTGTATACGTCACTGGGGACTTGTGTTGACACATCGTCAGAGTCAGCATGCTCATTGGTACATCATCTGACCAGTTCTCAAGTTTTCCTTTGGGTGTGCTTCAGCATTTGCTATGGCAGATTTTACAATGTGGGTCTCACCTTACAAACTACTCCTTCAGGTTTATAAATATATCACAAAGAGAAGTAAATTCTGAAAGATGGAGCAGTACCTCTTAAATAGAGGTGGTAGTGCTAAAATGATTCATAGCTATGTAAGAGAGATTATGGGATTAAGTGATGTGATTTTCAGCAAATTGTTACCAATATTTTAACTGAAGAGCCATATCAGTGTATCCTGTTAAGATTTTCCTTTAAATATAATCTGGGAAATTACTAGGAGGTGGGCATGTTAAAAATGAAAAGGATATTAAGGCTGTTTATCCTTGACATTTGCTGCAGCCAATGCCGTACATGTAGCAGGGGTTCAATAAGAACCCCGAATTAAGTTATTAAGTACCAGATCACACCAGACATTATACATATATAAATGAACTTAGTGGCAATAAGTTTCTGTTGGTACTTTATGGGCCTCCTTTGTGGTGGAGTGTTGGTGGAAGAAAGAGCAAGCAGAGCCACTTAGTGCTAAATAGCAAGATAAACAAATGATAACCCTAACATTATAGAGAGATAGTATTGTAATTTGGTATAAGAAAATTTGAGTCATGTTGACTCCTTTAAAAGTATGATCCCAATGAATTTAGTACTTTGGTACCTAACCTAAAATGAGCAGCCCTTGAGATTAGAGACTTCCCTTGTTTATATTCCCAACATTTGGCATACAATAAGGATTTGCCATTTAGAAGTTTTGGTTTTTCCTTTTTTCTTTCAGTACTGGGGCTTGAATCCAGGGCCTTGCACACTGAGTTACATTCCCTGCCTAGTATATGTTTTTGAATCATAAGACTTGAAATGCTTGAAGAATCCTCTCTAAAGACAATTTAAAATACTTTATGTGGGACTGGTGAGATGTTTCTAGTGGATGAAGGCACATTCCTCCCATCCTGACAATCTGAGTTTGATCTGTGATGCTCACATGGTGGAAGGAGAGAACTGATTCCTGAAGGTTGCCTTCTAACCCCCACCTGTGCACCATCACACCTGTACACCCACACATAACATACATACAAGCATATACACACAGAGAGAAAATTAAAATGTAATAAAAGATTTAAGGGGCTGGAGAGATGGCTCATTGGTTAAGAGCACTGGCTGCTCTTGCAGAGGACCCAGGATTGGTTCCCAGCACCCACATGGCTAACAACTGTCCCTAACTCCAGTTCAGTGGGATCTGATGCCCTCTTCTGGTCTCCACAGGGATTGCATGAAGTTAGCATACCTACATCTTACATATCTATATACAGGCAAAACACTCATACACATTTTTTTTAAAAAAAAAAGATTTAAAATGCTTTATGCTGGGCATGGTGGCATGTGCCTTTAATCCCAGCACTTGGGAGGCAGAGGAAGGTGGATCTCTGTGAGGTCAAGGCCAGCCTGCTCTACACAGTAAGTTCCAGGCCAGCTGTGGCTACAGGGAGACCCTGTTTCAAGAAAAAAGCAAAACAAAAAATGCTTTATGCCTACATTTCCTTTTGATAATTACACCCATTTTAAGGCTTGGATGTGGGGGCTGGAGAGATGGCTCAGAGATTAAAAGCACTGGCTGCTCTTACAGAGGACCTGGTTTGGTTCCCAGCACCTACATGGCAGCTAACAACCATCTGTAATTCCAGTTCCAGGGGATCCAACACCCTCTTCTGACCTCTGCAGGCATTGTACAACATAGGTGCACCTACATACAGGCAAAACTCTCAAACACATAAAATAAAAATAATGAGGCTTGGTTGTATTTTGTAATGTAGACCAGCCAAATTTCTTCCCCTTAATTTATTTTTCGAAGCGAAGGCAGAAGAAAAATCACATTTAAAAAATTATTTTGGAGTGTAGCTCAATTGGTAGAATGCTTGCCGAACATGCACAAAGCGCTAGGTTCAATATCTAGCGAAACCACATAAAACAAGAGAGGTGTGCACATTTGTAATCCCAGCACTAAAGAGGTGGTAGCAGGAAGATCAGAAGTTCAAGGTCATCTTTAGTAACATAGAGAGTTGGAGGCCAGCCTGGGCTACATGAGACCCTATCTTTAAAAAGGTTTTGTTTTTGTTTTGGAATGTCATTTCAAAAAACAATTTCAAAGACTTAAATTCTTTGTAATATCTTATCATTTTACAAAGAGTACAAAAGTGCTAGGTTTAGAGGGCTTTAAAAAAAAAATCTGTGTGCGTGTGTGTGTGTGTGTGTGTGTGTGCACATGTATTTGTCCAACTGCAGTGTTTGTGGAGGTCCAAGAACAACTTTTGGGAGTTACCCTTCTCTTTCCACCATGTGGATCCCAGAAGTTAACTCCAGTTGTTAGGCTTGATGGTAGCATGTTTACCTGCTGAGCCATCTTGCTGGCCCAGCTTTTTTGTTTTGTTTTCTTTTGTTTTTGTTTTTCCCTGAAGTCCAGAACTTTGTGGATGCTATACAGAGTGTTAGTTTTTAATTATATAGGATTTTTTCTTTTCTTCGTTATTGTTGTCATCCTCTACCTCCTCCTCTTTCTGTGATATAAACCAAGGGATTTTACAACTAGGCAAATGGTTTACTACCAAGATACACCATGACCTCAATATGGCAATTATGAGTTAACTGATTTAAGTCAAATTATTGGAATTTGTTGGGAGTTTATTGAGATACATTTGATTATGGAGTCTTTCATGAGTGTGAAGTTCAGGATAGAAATTATGCTCTTATAGGAATTTTCTCCTAAGTTTTATAAGTGTGTTTATAATTAAATGTTTTTCATTGTAACTTTGTGTGACTAAAGAATAACTAAAGAATTGAAACCATTTTACCTTCCTCCTCAGCCGGAGTGGTACTTGGCTCAGATACTTATGTGGATTGGAAACCATACTCAATTTCTGGATGAGAAGATTCAGCCAATATTAGATAAAGTAGGCTCTGTGGTGAATGCAAGGGTAAGAGACTGCATCCTAAGCATTTCAGCTTTATTAGTGCTGTTAGTGTGCCTGAAGAGCTTGTTATTCATGCCCCTCATCTTTATTTCTTTCTTGTAGCTTGAATTTTCTCGGGGCCTTATGATGCTCGTTCTTGAGAAGCTGGCTTCCGATATTCCTTGTCTGCTCTATGATGATAATCTCTTCTGTCATTTGGTGGATGAGGTGTTGTTGTTTGAAAGAGAGCTGCATAGTGTCCATAGCTATCCTGGCACTTTTGCTAGCTGTATGCACATTCTATCAGAAGAAACCTGCTTTCAGAGATGGTTGACTGTGGAGAGAAAGTGTAAGTGCTCATGTAGCCATAGGTGCCTGTTTTTATCTGTATATTTTTGGTGCTTTTTCTCTTCCAGCTCTGGAAACTATAGCATCTAATTTTTTTTTTTTTCGGTCAGAGTTTACTGCATTATCTCCAAAGACAATCTTATTTTCTTTTCAGGAAACTTAAGGTTTTCCTGGAAGTACTTTCAACATGTAGTTTCTAGAAGGGAATATTGAAGCCATTAGAGTGTATTGCTGTTTTGTACATTTTACCATGTATATTTCTACTTTTGGTCAAATCTCTGTCGATATACTGCATCTAATTAGCGTAGCTGTTCTGAACATTTGAGAGGAAGGGGAATAGGGTATCTTATTTAACTCTAAAATATAGCATTTTAAGTATAGTACAACATGGGAGATTACAGATTTATTTTGTATAGAAAAATCATCATTCCTAAAAAAAGCATAAGTTGAGAATTTAGGAATGATTATAACTACTTGACATAACCCTTTTTTCTTCATATCAGTTGCTCTTCAAAAAATGGACTCAATGCTTTCATCAGAAGCTGCCTGGGTATCCCAATATAAAGACATCACTGATGTGGATGAAATGAAGGTTCCAGACTGTGCAGAAACTTTTATGACTCTCCTTTTGGTTATAACTGGTAAGTATTAGCTTTTTTTAAAAAAATGTTTTGTTATTTTTATTTTATTTGTATGAGTATATTGCCTACATGTATGTGAGTGCACCCCTGTCATGCAATGCCTCGGAGGTCAGAAGAGGGCTTCGGATTCCCCTGGAAGTGGCGTTAAGGACGGTTTGTAGCTGCCATGTGGGTGCTGGGAATTGAACCCGGGTCCTCTGCAAGAGCAGTCAGTGCTCTTAACCAGTGAGCCATTTCTCCAGCCCCAAGTATTAGTCTTTTAAGATATGACTTTGAGCCAGGTGTGGTGGCATATAACTTTTATCCCAGCACTCAGGAGGCAGAGGCAGGTGGATCTCTGTGAGATTGAGACTGTCCTGGTCTATATAATGAGTTCCAGGCCAGCTAGGGATACAGGGAGACCCTATCTCAAAAAACAAAACAAAACAAAAGCAAAGATAAGACTTTGGTTTAAAACTATGTACTTGGGAGGCAGAGGTAGGTGGACTCTGTGTGTTTAAGGCTAGCCTGGTCTACATAGTGAGTTCCAGGCCATCTGGAGCTATAGTGAGACCCTGTCTTAAAAGACAAAAAAAAAAAGTATTAAGTTTTTAACCTGGGTGTGGTGGCACATACTTGTAATCCCAGTACTTGGGAGGTAGAGGCAGGAGAATCAGGAGTTCAAGGCCAGTCTCGGCTACACAGCTAATTTGAGGCCATACTGGTCTACATGAGACTGTTTTTCAACAAAAAAATAAAGCTAAGCAAACAACAAAACTAAAAGTAGTAAGTTTGGGGGCTGGAGAGCTGGCTCAGTGATTAAGAGTACTGGCTGCTCTTGCAGAGGACCCATATATTCAGTTCTTAGCACCCAGGTTATGTTTCACAACTTTCTGTGATTCCAGTTCCAAGGAAACTGACACCCTCTTCTGGCCTCCAGAAAGCAAGCACACGGTACAAATACCCATATGCAGGCAAAACACTCATAAATACACATAAATATAAATAAATCTTCAAAAGTACTAAGTTTTTGGGGCTAGAGAGATGGCTCAATGGTTAAGAGAGCACTGGCTGTTCTTGCAGAGGATCCTGGTTCCACATGGTGGCTAACAACTGTCTGTAACTCCAGTTGCAGGGAATCTAATACCTTCTGACCTCCTCAGGCACTGCATGACACAGGTGCATTTACATATGTGCAGGCAATGTACTCATACACATAAAATAAAAATAATAAAAATTTTTTTTTGGTCTTTTTAAGACAGGGTCTCCTTGTAGCTCCAGCTGGCCTGGAACTCTCTGTGTAGACCAGACTGGCCTCAAACTCAGATATCTGGCTGCCTCTGTCTCCCAGGTGCTGGGATTAAAGGCGTGCGCCACCACACCTGGCTAAATGAAATATTTTTTTAAAAAGTAGTAAGTTTTCACATAGTCCTGGTTATTTAGTGCTTAAAAAAATTAATATTATGCAGTGGTTATAATAGCTTTATAATAGCTTCATATTGTTTATGCCTTAATAAAAATCTAGGGGGCTGGAGAGATAGCTCAGTGGTTAAGAACACTGATTGTTCTTGCAGAGGATTCAAGTTTGATTCCCAGCACCCACATGGCAGCTAACAACCATACATAACTCCAGTTCCAGGGACTCTGACACCCTCTTCTGACCTCCATGGGCGTTGCAAGACATGGGTGCACTCACATACATGCAGGCAATATACTCATACATGTAAAATAAAAATAAGTAAAATATTAAAAAACAAAATAAAAATCTAGGACAATAGTCAACTTTGGCTTTTTAATAACTTAAGACTTAAACATTGGTATACATGAAGGGAAAAAATCTTGAATTTTTACATAAAAACAAATAATTAGTTACTAACTCTTTTGCTACTCGGCTTTTTACATGTCTTTAGATTTTATTTCATCATCATTTTTTGAGACAGGGTCTTACTATAATGCCATGCTGACTTGCTTGAGGACCTGGGCTCAAATAATCTTTCTGCCTTAGTCTCCCAAGTAGCTAGGACCATAGGTGCACACCACCATGCCCCGTCCAATAATTCTCAAAGAATTAACTTTAATAATTATTTTCTTGACAGTGGTTTATAAAGAATTGTAGAAGAGTAAAATAATCAAGTAATTTAAGAATTGGAGTAGTAATAGGAATTCTTCTCATGCAGGGTTATCCTCTGGCACTGGTTGGCATCTGCACAGATGCCAGTAGGTCCCATTGTCACCATCCTTGGCCCTCTCTGCCTTCATCTTCTTCTGGCAGTTCATTTCTTAGACTTTTTAAAAAAAATTTATTATTTTTATTTTATGTGTATTTGTGTATTGCCTGCATGTAGGTAAGTGCACCCCTGTCGCGCAATGCCCGCAGAGCACAGAAGAGGCTGTCAGATCCCCTGAGACTGGAGTTACGGGCAGTTGTTAGCTGCCATGTGGGTGCTGGGAATCAAACCCGGGTCTTCTGCAAGAACAGTGTTCTTAACTGCTGAGCCATCTCTCCAGCCCATAATTATATATTTTAACTGTAAGAAAACTGTGAAACACATGCACACACAAAACAGACAAACAAAAAACCCAAAGAAGAAATAGCCAGGCATGGTGGTGTATTCCTTTAATCTCTGATTCCAGCATTTGGAGGTGGAGGTGGGAGGAGCAGCAGTTCAAGGCCATTCTTGGTTATGTAGTGAGTTGGGGCCAGCCTGAGATATGTGGTGAACTCCAGGCTATTTTGAACTATTTTGTAAGATCCTGTCTCAAAAAAATAAAACAACAGAAAAAGCTTGGTGTGGGGCATACATCTGCAGTTCCAGTACTTAGGAGTAGGAGGCAGGAAGATCAGGTGTTCAAAGCTATCCTCTGCCATGTAGGAAATTTGAGGCCAGCCTCGGCTACAGGAAACCCTTCCCAACCCCTCCCCACCAAAGCTGCTTACTTATTGAAGGTACTATTGTTTTAAAATACAATTTTCTTTTTTTAGTGAGGCATGATTTATAAAATGAAATCTATACAATTTGATCTTAAGTATACTGTTGTATGAGTCTTGACAAATATGTATACCTGTGAAATAGACCCATACTTGAATAGCCAATTGATTTTTCTCAAAGGCAGTAAAGTAAGGCTTTAGGGAAAATGGTATCATGGATGGTACCAAAACCCTTCATATGTTTTATTAATTTTCTCTACAGACAGGTATAAAAATCTCCCCACAGCTTCCCGGAAGCTGCAGTTCCTGGAGTTACAGAAGGACTTAGTAGATGATTTTAGGATACGATTAACACAGGTGATGAAAGAAGAGACCAGAGCTTCCCTTGGCTTTCGATACTGTGCAATTCTTAATGCTGTCAACTACATCTCAACAGTGCTAGCAGACTGGGCTGATAATGTTGTGAGTTAATGTGCTTTTATATTAATATGTTAGTACTTTGAACTTCTTTAACCTTTGAAATGTTGAGTCTGTTGCAATCCAAAAAGTTCATGTTAGACAAAAATTATAGTGATGCAAAATTTAGGAGATATGATTAAACATTTTTTTCAATCAAGTATTAAATAATTACATAATCCTAATTTGATTATGACTTCAATCATAAAGGGGCTGGAGGTTCAGCTCAGTGGAGGCATACTAGCAGCCCAGCCATGGGTAAGGTCTTGAATTTGATCCCCAGGACCACAGAAAGAAAGAAGGAAGGAAGGAAGGAATAAAAAGAAAACCTTAGCTAGGTATGCCTGAGGATCAGGAGCTCAGTGTGAACTCCATACAGTAAATTCCAGGCCAGCCTGGGCTTCATGAGCTACTGTTTCAAAAATAAAAACAAAAAGGAAAAAAAAAAAGAAAAATTTCCAAGGATAGCGATTGTACACGAACCTTTTTCCTTTCCAGTTTTATTCACAGGAAATAATATGCTAAATAATATGCCACCACAGAATAGTCATCATTTTACAATGACAACATGCTGGAGTCATTTCTTTTCTTCCACCATGTGGGCCCTGGGGATTGAATTCAAATTCTCAGGCTTAGCAGCAAGAGGTTTTAGCCACTGAGCCATCTCATGGGCCCTGCACTGCTCACTGTAAGCAAGTGAACTGTACGATTTAGAAGTTCTATTTCAAAATGCCAAAGCATTATGTTAATAAATGTACTAACATATTTTTGCTTTTAGTTCTTTCTACAGCTTCAACAAGCAGCATTGGAGGTGTTTGCAGAGAGTAATACCCTCAGTAAATTGCAGCTGGGACAGCTAGCCTCTATGGAGAGTTCTGTTTTTGATGACATGATTAACCTCTTAGAGCGTTTAAAGCATGATATGCTGACTCGCCAAGTAGACCATGTTTTTAGAGAAGTTAAAGATGCTGCAAAGTTGTATAAGAAAGAAAGGTATGTCCTGTGCCTAAGTCACTTTTTTTTGTAGTTTTTTTGAGACAGGGTCTCCCTGTAGCCCCAGCTGGCCTAGCCTGGAATTCGATATATAGAAAAAGCTGGCCTTGAACTCACAGAGATCTGCCTGCCACTGCCTTCTGAGTGCTGGAATTAAAGGCATGTGGCATCATGCCTGGCTTGGTATATTTATTTTTGATAGAGCTTTTAATATTGGACATCACTTTTTTTTTTTTTTTTTTTTTTGGCCTTTTTGAGACAGGGTCTCCCTGTAGCCCCAGCTGTCCTGGAACTCACTGTGTAGACCAGGCTGGCCTTGAACTCACAGAGATCTGCCTGCCTCTGTCTCCCAAGTGCTGGGACTACAGGTGTGCGCCACCATGCCTGGCTGTGGACATCACATTTTAAATCCAAAATTCCTCAGGACAGTACATCTCCCCAAATTTAGAATGATTCATTGAAACCTGAAGGGCACCAAGTGATGAAAATTCTTCTGGTAAGGATTAATGTTTCTCTAGGTGGCTTTCCTTGCCATCTCAGTCTGAACAGGCAGTGATGTCCCTGTCCAGTTCAGCCTGCCCACTCTTGCTGACGTTACGAGATCGTCTCCTTCAGCTGGAGCAGCAGCTTTGCTTCTCCTTATTCAAGGTTTTCTGGCAGATGCTGGTAGAGAAGCTGGATATGTACATCTATCAGGAAGTAAGTCATCATCGGGACTGTTTGGGGCTGTGGTGATAAAGGCAGCTATTACATGGATTGTTCTTTGTTTCAGGTAATCCTTGCTAATCACTTCAATGAAGGAGGAGCAGCCCAATTGCAGTTTGATATGACTCGGAATCTTTTCCCTTTGTTTTCTCACTATTGCAAGAGACCAGAAAACTATTTTAAACAGTAAGCTTAATATTTAACAGTTAATATTGATGTATTCAATTGTTAAAGGAGATTGACTTCTTTCTAACAACTTTAGAGTTTCCTCTATGTCTGTTGCAATAAGAGCAATTTAAATCCAAAAACATTCGTTGTGTAGTGTATGTTCAAAACAAAATAGAGAAGCCAAAATAATGTATGTGATCCATATCCTCAGAATGTTGACCAGAACTGGATGTAAATTATTTGTTCTATTTTGTTTCCTAGCATTTGATTTAATGATACTTGCTTATTACTGGAAGAATGTACTAGATAGTTTGACACACTTAGGAAAAGGAACTTTTATTGGAGAATTGCTTCTATCATATCGGCCTGTGGCCATGTCTGTGAGGCATTTTCTTCATTGAGTGATGTGAGAGGACTCAACCCACTGTGGGCATTTCCACCCCTGGGCAGGTGGTTCTGAGTTGTATAAGAAATCAGGTTGAGGGCTAGAGAGATGGCTCAGTGGTTAAGAGCACAGTCTACTCTTGAAGAGGACCCAGGTTCAATTCCTAGCACCCACATGGTGGCTAACAACTGTCTGTAACTCCAGTTTCAAGGAATTCCATGTCCTCTTCTGACCTCCACGGACATTGCACGACATGGGTGCACTTACATACATATAGGCAATACACTCATACACATAAAATAATAATAAAGAAATAATAAAGAAATTAGACTGGGCACAGGCCAGAGGAGCAAGCCAATAAGCAGTGTACCTCCATAGTCTGTGCTTCAGGGCAGAAGAGGGCATTGAGACCCCTGGAACTGTACAGATGATTGTTAGCCACAATGTGAGTGCTGGGAATTGAACCCAGGTACTCTGCAAGAGCAGCCAGTGTTCTTAACTGCTGAGTCACCTCTCTAGACCCTAGTTCTGTTTTTAATTTATTTTGCTATTCTTCCTTTTGGCTGCTTTGATTTTATCCCTTCTCTCTTTTCCCAGTTCCCAATTCTACCTAAAATTGTAGCTACATTTAATAGTCTTTTAGCATAAAATAGAGTACTAATAATAGTGTAGAAATACTGGTTACATATTGAAAGCAATGCTTTTTTAAACATTTTAAAATTTATGTGTATGAGTGTTTGGGATGCATGTATTTAAGTGCACCCATGTTGTACAGTGCCCACAGAGACCAGAGGAGAGTGTCAGGTCCCCTGGAACTGGAGTTAAGGACAGTTCTTAGCTGCCATGTGGGTGCTGAGAACTGAAACCAGGTCCTCTGCAAGAACAGCCAGTGCTGTGAACTGCTGATCCATCTCTCCAGTCCCTGAAATTATTGTTTATAATAATCTAATGAGTGATGAACCCTGCATACTTTATGTAGTCCAAAACATTTAGAGAGTTAAATTTGAGTGGAAAGGAGCTGTTCAATTTCTCAAAATGGAATTGTTATAATGTGGATGATATAATAGTGGCCATCCCGTTTCTCTTTCTGTCTCTCCTAAACAGTGTAAAAGAAGCCTGTATCATTCTCAATTTGAACATTGGTTCTGCGTTGCTCCTGAAAGATGTGCTGCAGTCAACTTCTGAGCAGCTCCCTGCCACAGCGGCCCTAAATGAAGTTGGAATTTACAAACTGGTTCAGCAGGATGTTGAAATTCTGCTTAATTTGAGGACAAACTGGCCTAACACTGGAAAATAATATATCTTTGAGAAAAACAGTTGTTTAACAAAAAGGAAGACAGTTGGATTTGAAGATCGATAAAATTCTGAATGAATGAAATGAACGAAACTGGACAAATGAAAATTTTATAGGGTCATTTATTATTTTGAGTTATTGTGTTACTAAAATGATGACCATATTTTCTCAGTCCTCTTGTTCCTATGAAAATGAAAACAAAAGACTCAGAAACTATGAAAAGTCAGAGTAATTCCATTACAAATACAAATGTTGACTATGTCTGCTGAAGAAAATGCAAGTAAAGATAGTAAATTATAACCAACTTTCAATTTACTGTGCTAATTAAGGGAAACTGTTGTAGATCATCAAATGCAGCCAATAATTAAAAAAAAAATCACTTAAGAATGCATGTTGGGGGGCTGTAGAGATGGCTCAGCAGTTAAGAGCACTGACTGCTTTTGCAGGGGACCAGAGTTCAATTCCCAGCACCCACATGACAGCTACGAACCGTCCTTAACTCCAGTCCAGGGGAATCCGAAGCCCTCTTCTGACCTCCGTGGCATTGCACGACTTGGGTGCACTCACATACATGCAGGTGATACACTCATACACATAAAATTAATAAAATCCTTAAAAAAGAAAAAAAGAATGCATGTTGGTAACTGAAGTTCCTGTATCCAATTTGGGAATTCATTATCATTCCATAAGAAAACACACTTTGGACAGACATGGTGGTGCACAACTTTAGTCCCAGCACTTGGGAGGCAGAGGCAGGTGGACATCTGTGAGTTAGAGGCCAGCCTGGTCTATATGGTGAGTTCCAGGACAGCCAGTGCTACATAGGGAGACCTTGTCTCAAAACAAAATAATAAAACAAAAACCATTGTAAGCTGAGAATGGTGGTACACACACTCCTGTCATTCCAGTACTTTGAAGGCTGAGGGAGGAGGACCACAGGGAGTTCAAGACCAATCAGGGCTGCATATTGAGACACTATCTATCTCAAAACACTCTTGGCCCCCCAAAAAACCCATATGAAATTTATGAGATGGCCTGGAACTCACTGTGTAGACCAGGTTGGCCATGATTTCACAGAGATCCCATTTATCTCTGCCTCCCAAGTGCTGGGAATAAAGGCAGCCACTACCACTCCCAGCATTACAATTGTTCTTAATGTTCGATTTTCATGTCCTTCCATTTAAAATATTTCCTAGTTCCCTTTGTGTGTGTGTGTTTGTGTGCAGGTCTGTGTGTATTGGAGGGGGTGCACATGTATGTGCATCTGTGGAGGCCAGAGGTCAACCTTGGGGTATTGTTCTTCATGACTGCCCACAGTGGTTTTTGTTTTTCTGTTTTGTTTTTTGTTTGTTTGTTTTTTTGAGACAGGGTCTCCCTGTAGCCCCAGCTGGCCTGGAACTCACTATGTAGACCAGGCTGGCCTCAAACTTACAGAGATCTGCCTGCCTCAGCCTCCTGAGTTGTTGGGACTAAAGGCGTGTGCCACCACACCCAGCTCCACTGTGTTTTTTAAGACAGGGTCTTTCCTATAGCCCCAGCTAGCCTGGAACTCACTATGTAGACCAGGCTGGCCTCAAACTCACAGATACTCCTGCCTCCCTAGTGCAGGGATCAAAGGCATGCATCACCACATCTGGCTCAGAACATGAGTTCTTTGCCAACCTGGGCTATATAGCAAGACCCTGTCTTAAGGCTGAGATTACAGGTATGGACCACCATACCTGGCTTCTCATTATTATTTTGTGTGTGTGTTTGTGTGTATGATATGTATGTGTGTGTGTGATACACACTGCAGTATGCATGTGGAGGTCAGAGGACAACTTTGTGACACCAGTTCTCCCTTCCCACTTTACGTGGGTCCTCAGGGATCAAACTCAGGTTGTAAGGCTTCTATGGCAAGCACCTTCACCCACTGAGCCGTCCTGATAGCCCTACTCAATATACAGAGATTTTCCAACTACTGTATGGAGCTCAAGCTTTTCCATTAGGCCTCCTCATCTTTGAGAATTGATGGGGATTCCCAATAGGAAAAGAATGAAGCTGCCAGCTGGGCGTGGTGGTGCATGCCTTTAATCCCAGCACTTGGGAGGCAGAGGCAGGCGGATCTCTGTGATTTCAAGGCCAGCCTGGTCTACATAGTGAGTTCCAGGACAGCTGGGGCTACAGGGAGACACTGTCTCAAAAAGACCAAAAAAAAAAAAAAAAAATTTACATGGGCCAGCTGTGGTGGTGCACATCTTTAATCTCAGCACTCAAGAGGCAGAGGCGGGTGGATTTCTGTGAGATCAAGGACATCCTGGTGTATGTAGCAAGTTCTAGGTCAACTGTGGTTACAGGGAGACCCTGTCAAAAAAAAGAAAAAAAAAAAAAAAAAAAAAAAAGACAGGGCTGGAGAGATGGCTCAGCAGTTAAGATAACTGGCTGCTATTGCAGAGGACCCAGGTTCGGTTCCAGCACCCACATGGTGGCTATCAACAGTCCATAACTCCAGTTCTAGGGGATCCAATGCCTTCTTCTGACCTCCACAGGCATTGCACAACATGGGGTGCACTTACATGCAGACAATACACTCACACACATAAATGAAAAATAATATTTTTAAAAAACAAACAAAAAAACTTACACTTCATCTCTGAATTTATCCAAGGTTATTATATGTCCGTCATCAAGCAAAACTTCATTGTCAGTACATAGACCCAAGTTTTTTAGGGCTGCAAAAGTGAAAACAAATTTGTCAGCTAAAGAAAGTTCTGGAGTGACCTTGTTCAATTTGTAGATGATACTGACCTTCTCTGTACTGCACAAATGTTATGGTGCCTTTGCCTGCAGAGTCCATCATATCAAACATTGACACGATATTAGAGTTGTCCATAAACAAAGGAAATGCCACACCTGTTAATTTGGCAATTCTCAGACGTTCCAACAGAGAAATTAAATATTCTCTTGGTCTTTCTGCAAAAGAATAGTTTTGACTCATATACAATTAGAATGTGCCACACATGGAAGTAGTCATTTAACAGTTGCCAAATGCCCGGGTTCAAGGTGCTGTTCCAGGCAATAGGGATACAGGCCTTGCTTTCATGAAACTTATAGTTCAGTAGAAAACAATTAAATAATGGCACATACAAGTACTCTACCGCAGATGACTGAATATAAAGGGCCAGAGATTGAACCTGGGCATTGAAAAAAAAAAAACTCCCCCCAAAAGGCAGAGAACTGCATGATGAAAAAAAGCTAAAGGAGGGGGTAAAATACAGATAACAAAAAATAGAGACATGTAGTCTAATTAGGAAGCATAAATGTTCATTTCTAATGTAAAAGAAGCACTTCAAATATATGGTCTCTCTTTTATTGAAGCAATTTTTAAAATGAAAAATCTAATCAGTCTGCTTTCTGGAAATAATGCAGAATGGCCATAGCGGAAGTCAGAAGCTGGAGCTGCTTAGACGGCAGATACCACTACCACTGCATTTATTATTTCAATCCCTGTATTCAGGCTTACATTTTCTTTTTAAAATTATTTTAAAGTTATTAGTGAGAATTAATTATTTATAAAAGAAAAGGATATCCAGGCTGAAGAGATGGAGCAGCAGCTAAGAGCACTGGCTGTTTTTCTAGGGGACTTGAGTTCAATTCCCAGCACTTACACTGGGCAGTTCACAACTGCCTGTAACTCCAGTTCCAGGAGATCCAACACCTTCTTCTGGCCTTTGTGAACACTGCACACACCTGACATGCACGTGGATGTGCACACACTAATTCTTTTTTAATATAAAGAAGAAGAAGGGGTTAAAGAGATGGCTCGGTGGTTAAAAGCACTGACTGCTCTTACAGAGGACCTGGGTTCGATTCCCAGCACCCACATGGTGGCTAACAACCATCCATAACTTCAGTTCCAAAGGATCCAATATCTTCTGACCTCTGAGGGCACTGCAAGACACAGGTGCACTTACATACATACAGGTAATATATTCATACACATAAAATAAAAATAATAAAAAATTTAAAAAAGAAAAGGAAAAGGAACCCATCATGACTTCAACTGTTACTATCTACCATAGACCCATCAACTTCCCCTTCTTCCTTGTATATTTTAAGAGAAGCATACAGATTGTGTTTGATTAATAAACATTTGAGGCATGCATTGTTTTCTTAGCTACTTTTCTATTGCTGTGATAAAATACTCTGAAAAAACAAGGGAGAAAGGTTTTTTTTGTTTTGTTTTTTTTCTTTTTTTCAAACAGTTCCAGATTAAAAACCGATCATGGCAGGGAATTAACAGCATCAGGAGCTTGAGGCAGCTGGTCGCATTGTATCCACAGTCAAAAAGCCGAGAGAGGTGAATGT